AGAGAGAGAGAGAGAGAGAGAGAGAGAGAGAGAGAGAGAGAGAGAGAGAGAGAGAGAGAGAGAGAGAGAGGAGCGATACAAGATTGTTGTGCGGATCAAGAGAGAAGGCGGTCATAGCCGCGGAGCTCGGACACAGGGTTACCAAGAGAGAGAAAGGTGAAGCGAAGGAGAAGGGAGGAGAGACGAAGGAGAGAGAAGCCATAGCCGAGGAAGCGGAAGGTGGGACGAAGAAGAAGAAGGAAGACATGGCCGAGGTGAAGAGAGAAAGAAGTGAGGAAGAAGAAAGGAGGGAAAAAGAGAAGCGAGGGTGCGAGAAAGAGAGTGCCGGCAGCCATAGCTAAGTTGAGGGTTGACTACCTCGTTGACCAAGGGGTTGACCGAAGTTGACTTGGGTGTTGACTCAGGCGTTGACGAAAGTGTTGACCGAGGTTGACCAAAGTGTTGACCGGGGGTTTGACCGGCGTTGACCAAGCGTTGACCAAGGCGCTGACCAAAGTTGTTGACCACGATTTGACCAAGCTGGAGTCGGTATATTCTCGCCAAGCCTTAAGCCTATCCCCTCGCCCTATGGATGTGCACTCACCCCATGGTACTTGCTGAGTTTGTCTGTCGCTTCTTTCGACATTGAGTCTCTTATGTCCAAGTGATAGGAACTATGTGAATGAGGTCATAGAGCTTTGTTGACCAAACCCACACGGGCTGAGTAGGGCTAAAGGTTGTGTCTGACGACTTGACTGATCCGGAGGACACGAACCCTCCCAAGGACTGGTACAGACCGGCGGGCTGCTCGGTGTGGCACAGTAGGCCCAAAGTCCGAGTTGTGGGCTGCACAACAAGCTGTCTAAGTCTTGAGAGGACTTGCTGATCGCGTCGTCCTGTTTGCAATGTTAAATAATTCCTGAGGAGTTACGGAGGATCTCCTTAAACCACCAGTACCTCCGAGCCTGTTTTTGCCGACCCTGATTTTCACTGCGCTCCGAGTTTTGCCGAGCCTGGGTCCCACTCCATTTCTTTGTGGTACTCTCACGGGAAGAAANGAAACAAAGCTCTGGGCGTGATTGCAACTGTATACATTCTCGGAAGTGTTAGTGTGAGTGTGCCCTCAGTGAGGGCATCTCAGCCCCGTGGCCAGGTTGTCAGAATCCAGAAACCCAAAAAAAAACAAAAAGCAGAGAAACACGGATTCGGCTATGAAAATGGCAAGATACATTCCCATAAGTGCCAATGTGATCAGGGTTACAATCCTCTGAAGGAACACAGCTCGAGCAAATCACGGATTCAGATTGTCAGATTCCACAAAAAGAAAACAAGAAAAAAAAAACGGAAACATGGATTCGGCCTTGAAAACGGCTAGATACATCACAGTTATAATGATCTGAGGAAACACAGCTAGAGCAGATCACGGATTCCGCCCTGCCTCATTGGCAGGGGACACATAAGAAACATACGAGAAAAAAAAAAAAAAAAAAAAAACAAGTATCAGAATCTGACCGTCTTTGTCGTAAGATGCATTCCAGACTGTGAGCACGGCCTCCAGGACTACCCTGCCCGTCATCATTGCAGTTCAAGGGCTTGTTTTTTTTCCCTTTTCCTTTCTTGCACGGGCAAAACAAAAGTACGATTTTTGGGACACTGCCGACCCTGCGTCCGAAGCCCGAAAAGTTCGGGTACTGGCCAGTACCACATAATTTCCCAACACTGGGGAAGGTACTGGTGGTTTAAATGTTTCCTGATCAGCAATAAGTCCTGTAGTGACAGCCTTAGTTTAGGTCTAGGCTAAAGACCATAGCTGACAGGATCTTACCAAGATTTTGTGGTCCTTAGTTGAGTCAGTCCTAGGTTGAGTCAGTCAGGTGTGAGAGTCTAAGTGGTGAGGAGTGGAACTGACTTCCGATTGTACACCTTTCACCATGGTTGAACTGCGTAGTGGCAAGAGAAACACCCCTTGTACAAAATCTCAGGAAGAGCAAGCCGCCGCCATACTTCAAGAGAGAAAAGAGAAGGAGACTAAGAAGGAGATGATTAGGCAGGCCAAGAAGTTGGCCTTACAGGAGGAGCAAGCGGCGAAGAGGAAGAAGTTGGAGGAGGAAATGGGGAGATTAAAGGAGGAGGAGGAAGAAAAGATGAAAGCAGTAGAAGAAGAACAAATAGAAGAGGAAAAGGAGGAGGAGCCCCTGATCAGAAGAAGCGCAGGGCAGAGAGGAGAATCCAGTGGCACAAAGGAGGATTCATGGTTGGAGAAGAAGGTTTCCGAGTGGGTGGCGAACTTATCCCTAGGGGAAGAAGAAGAAGCTATGTTGTATGTTTCCAGGGAGGAGAAGGAAGCAGTTATCAGGGAGTTGGAAGAAGAAGAAGACCCCTTGAGACGCCAGACGATTGAGGAGGAGAAAAAGTTACAGTGGAAGTTGCGTCTTACCAGGGAGAAAAAGAGAAGGATGGATGAGGCGAGTAAGATGACGAAGGAGTTGGAAGCGATAAAGGATCAGAGAGAGGATCAGAGAGCAGATACAGGCTCACGCAGATATACAGGGAAAATTAGATATCATTAAGAGAAACATAGAACTCCTAGCTAGAGTCTGGGACGAGCAACATCAGTTTGCTAGAGCCCAGGACATCGCCTTACACTCCATCCGCTTGAGTTTTAGAGATTTTTCATGTGAGATGATGTTGCACGTGGGTGCAGAGATGAAGGCGAGGATAGAGGGCACAAAGAAGTTTTGCACAGGCGCCATTGAGGGCGCAAAGCTGGACACTCCAAAGGAGGAGGAGGTACGCCCCCGTAGAGAGCCCGTGAAGATCAAGTTTCCTGAACCCTATAGTGGGAAGAAGGAAGAAAACTTCGATAACTGGGAGGTAAGTGTTAACACATACGTCTATTTGCAGCATATAGTAGCTGAGGAACAAGTTCTCATTGCGTTCCAGGCTCTCAAAGACGAAGCAGCCAGCTTCGCCAGATCACTCGCTCGCGCTGCACAGTGCAAAATGGTAGCATATTCTAAAATTACTCATCTCCATAAATTCCATCGATTATTGACGGAACGACTTGCGGATGTCAGTCGAGGCGTAAGGGCCTCAGACAAACTGCAAACCATCCACTCACGTCAGTGGAGGAGTGCGAGGGCACTCAAGGGCGTAATGGACGAGCTTGTAGTCGTCTTAGACCACGGGGTCACTGAGACCCAGGTGCTCAACTTATTTTATCGTGCCATGCCAGAGCCCCTGCGTGGGCACTTCTTCGAAAAGAGTAGACAACCCACCATGACGTATGATACGTTGAGTAGGGAGGTGGTGCTATTTGAGGCACAATCCATGCCAGTTTCCACTTTCTGGCATAAGGACTTGGACAAGGGGAAAAAGTGGAAGGGTCGTACCATCTCGGGTCAGGTTCGGGCCAAGGATCATCTGATCCTCACTTTGGATGAAGGTGGTATGAACGAGGTCCCATATAGTCAAATCGAGTGGGGCCTAGAGGAAGAGGACAGTAGTGGCGGTCAGGGGAGGACCTACGTTGTTGTCGCGGTTGGAGGGAGGCCGCAAGGAAGAGGAGGAGGCCAGGGCCAAGGGGGCCGGGCCTCAAGTGGCCGAGGACAGGGCGCTCAGGGGGTTGGCGGCAAACGAATCAATTAGAGTATAATCATATATATTTTATAGATTCTAAATTAATAATATCTCATTTATTATTTCATTTGAATTGTATTCTATTGAATAAATAGAGAATAAAGAATTATTATATTATTATTTAGAATATTGTATTATACTGTAAATTATATTTTAAGTTTTTATCGCCAAGAGGGAGGTAGGGGTCAAGGTCCCCGCCAAATCGTTCGCGATCTTATCGGTCACCTTCAAGAAGAGGTGGATGGCACCCTGGCTTGCCACAAGGCAGGCCATGGGAAGATTTGGCGGTGATCCTGGCCACATAATCAAATATTGTCGAAAGTATAAAGAAGCCCGCTATGCTGCACAAGCAGCAAAAGGCAACCGCCGGTAGGGGTTGCAACTGCCCTTACCCCTAGGCCATTTGGAGAAGAGTGCGCGCACCATAGAGGAACTTCCAAACCACATGAGCCTACGACAGAGGTTGCTGGCTAGTACCTAGATAACTATCCAATGACTGCTTGTGTTAGAGTCTCTCTCGGTACTTCCCTCATAGGCGTGGCTAAAGAGTTGAAGGAGAGGATGTCTGCCTGGGCCAAAATGAAGAAAGATGCGAAGGGACAGCCGGTGTTAGTAGATGTAGAGATTTTTAGAGGTAGAGTAGGGGCCCTTATAGACAAAGGGGCCACCTGCAGCTATATCAGTAGAAAAGCGCTGCATAAGTTAAAGCTGAATTTGAAGGTCCAAAAGTTAGAAAACCCTATAGTTAGTATCCTCGCAAACAATCGCACTATGAGAGTCGAGGATTACGTCGAGGGAGTCCAGATGTACTTTCGCCTGGAGAAGGATGAGAAGGTAGAAAAGGTTCGCCATTCCCTGATTCTCCTCGTCAAGGACAACCTTCCTTTTGATATGGTCCTAGGCATGGACTGGGGAGAGGCAGTAGGGGCCACGCTCCACTTGAGAGAGCATGAGTGTAGGCTCCCTAGTCCCACAGGTGAAGTTAAGACTGCTCGCCTGTTTCATGTGTGAGGAGTAGACAACTCTCTGGCACATTGTTGTCTTAGTGCTCCTACGTTCGCGCGTTTAGTGAAGAAGGAGCAGTTAGAAGAGCAGGTTTTTGTAGCCTATGTTAGGTCAGTCACTGAGCCTAAGGAAGAGAGACCCATAGACCCTGCTATTGCCAAGCTGCTGGAGGAGTTTACAGACTTAGCTAAGCCACCGACAGGAGTAGTGTCGCGGCCGATCCAGCATAGTATTGAGATAGAGCCTCGCAGTAGGACTCCTAAGGGTGTTGTATATAGGATGTCCCCGACGGAGCTACAGGAGTTGCGTAAGCAATTGGACGAGCTCCTCGAAAAGGGTTGGATTAGGCCAAGTCCATCTCCATTTGGAGCACCTGTTCTTTTTGTCCCCAAGAAAGAGGGATAATTCAGGATGTGCATAGACTATAGAGGTTTCAACGTCGTCACAGTAAAGAATGCAGAGACACTGCCCTGTATAGATGATCTGTTGGATCGGGTGCAGGGATGCAAGTATTTTTCGAAGATAGATTTGAAGTCTGGTTATCATCAGATAGAAGTCCACCCTAATGATCAGTACAAGACGGCGTTCCGAACGCGATATGGGCATTACGAGTTTATAGTTATGCCCTTTGGACTAACCAATGCGCCAACAACATTCTAGTGTTGTATGAATGATTTGTTTAGGCCGTGGTTAGACAGATTTGTGGTAGTGTACTTAGATGACATTCTAGTTTTTAGTAAGACCCTCCAGGAGCATGAGGGCCATTTGGGGCAGGTCTTGGAGAAGCTTAGAGAAGCTAACTTCAAGATCAACGCAAAAAAGTGTGAATGGGCCAAGACACAAGTTTTGTACTTGGGCCACATCTTAGACGGAGACGGCATAACACTTGAAGACAACATGATAGCAGCGATTAGAGATTGGCCAACGCCCCGCACGCTGACAAAGTTGCGGTCGTTCTTAGGCCTAGCTCACTATTATCGGAAGTTCGTCAAGAACTTCTCCACCATCGTTGCACCCCTTCGCAGGTTGCTAAAAAAAGAAGCAATTTGGAAGTGGGACAAGGACTGTACATCAGCCCTGAAGAAGTTAAAGCGGGCTTTGATAGAGTATCAAGTCCTTAAGGTAGCCGATCCGTCCCTGCCTTTCGTTGTTACCACTGACACGAGTAAGTGGTAACATAGGTGTTGTTTTACAGCAAGATAATAACAATGGATATAGGCCCGTTGTCGGGACTAGTGAGTCCCGAATGATTTCCTGTCACTCGAGAGACTGTATATGACCAATTTGTGCACAACAGAGAAAACCGGAGGCATGAATGCTGGAAAGATCGGAAGCATGGGCGCAGACAGTAGGAAGCTAGAGGCTGCCCAGAGTCGTCAGGACCGCCAAACTAGAAAGGGACTGTCTAAGCAGGAAGCGGCAAAAGGACTGTGAGAGAATAGCAGGGGTGACTCCTTCCCCAAGGACGGAGAAGGGCCGTCGGGAAATCGGTAGTAGCGTAGGAGGTGCGCGGCAAGGGAAGGAAGGAGGTAGGAAGGGACAGGGCGCAAGGCGCTAACGTGACATGGCAGTAAGAGGGCCAAGGAGGCCGCCGGCTAGATGGGAGCCGGCACCCGGAACGGAACAGCGTGCGGAACACAAGAGGAACGGGGAGCGGAGATTGCCGTAAGGCAAGAGGATGTCAGAAAATCCAAGGAAAGACGTGGTACAGGTGGGGCAGGAGTATCGGGGACCACATGGGATCGAAGGACGGGGCGGTACCGGCAGGACAAAGTGTCGGGGACCACATGGGACCAAGGGACGGCATGGTGCCGGGAGGGGGCGAAGTACCAGGAACCGCGTGAGACCAAGAGAAGACATGGTACCGACAGGACGAAGTGTCAGGGACCTCGTGGGACCAGGCGAAAATGCGGAATTGTCGGCGGGACTAGTATCGGGAACCGTCGACGGAAACAACGAACGACTGGGCGACGGGGACGCATGATGACCCAAGGGGAAACATGTCGTCTCCTGGGACGACGCCAGAAAAGGGGGGACGGACTGGGAATGATAAGAGGATAGGGAGAAGGTGGGCATCGACGAAAATTGTCGACGGAATGAAAAGAGGCAGGCGTGACGCGGGAAAGACGGAGGATGCGGCACGCGCCGACAGGGGGTGCCAAGGAGGGAAAGAGAGAAGGAAGTAGCGGCAGTGAGGGGGGCCCCAACTAGCAGTCCAGGTTATTCCGGACCAGCCAGACCAAGAAAAACAAAGTTTCGAGGGCCCCACGTGGAGGAATGGCTGGCCGGAGAAAATCGGAGCAAGGGGGGCCTCGAACTGGAAGTAGCGGCAGCAAAAAGGAGCCCCCTTTGGCCTTAGGGGAGCCACTACTGCAGTCTAAGGTGTAACGGCCGTATGCCGGCTGCAAAAACAGGCCTTGGGAAAGGTCCAACAGCTAGAAAGAGGAGGAATAGTTGTTGGACACTTGTCCCAATAGTAATAAAAGAGAAAAGAAAGAGAAAGGGAGAGAATGAGACAAAGGAGGAGGAAAGGGTGGAGAAAAATGTGCCACCAGGTTGGGACTGCAGCAGTAGGGACTGACAAGTCTCGATGATGACCTCATCCCTCCTAGATCCGAGGAGGGCAGTTCGGATTGCAGAGATAAGGTCCTTAGGGCATTATCTCTGCAATATCTGAATTTAAGCAGCAAAAATAAAGAAAAATGCTAATGTGAGTTGGCCGGCTCATTTTTGGGCCCTAGATCTGAGATCTGATCTTGCGGAGGAGGAGATCTAGCCGTTTTTTGTGGGCTGACACAAAACGGCTAGCTCCGGAATGAGTTGGCAGCAAAATGGAGGGAAAACAAAGAGAGGAACAAGACAAAACTGCGTATTTGGCCCAAGGATTGGGCCAGATACACCAAAAAAATTGAAAATTGAAGTAAAAGGCTCAAATTTGGGCCAAGGGGAGCTTGGGGGTAACTCGGAATGATGAGAACTATGGATCTCAGCCAAATCCAAGGCTGAGATTGGAGCTGCCACTTGGAAAAATGCAATGGCCTACCCAAAAGAGGCCTAGACCAGGAAAAAGACGAAAAATGGGCCTCTAGGCCCTCAAATGTTAGTACAGGCTGCATTTTGAGAAGTGGTACCCCAAGAGGCAGCTCTTTTTGGAGTAAAGAGAGGCCGGGGTAGGCCAAGGGGTAGTCCGAGAGGGTACCAGCCACTCGGACTGCATGCATTTGACCAAA